TACTTAGCAGAGTAAATGAATTGTTTTGAGTGCCCATAAATCAAAACATACAGAAGTTATTGCAATGACTTGATGCCAATGAACCTTAAGAATTTAAGGAAATTAGGGCAGGCACTCAAGAGCAAGTGACATTCATTGCCTTGAATTTCCTGTGACAGTTTGTTACATTTGCAAGTATCTGTTCTTAGGAATGGTAAAATTCTTGGGAGCCTGAGACTATACAGGAATTAGTTCAATGATGTTCATTTGGAAGCAATGTGGCTACTTAAAAGCCTCCACGTCCAGTCCTAGCAAAGCCTAGCAAGCCAGGAGCTGCCCCCAGGAGGCAGTTGTGTCAGTGAAGAACATTTCACACTGTTTCCAGACACGCGCCTCATTCTTTTCATGGTAGAGCCTGCAGCTCATGAATTCTTGAGCCTTGAGAGGAGAAATTGTGCAGGTGGGATGTGACCTTGACTCTGAACATCGCCAGCCTTTCTCCTGCCTCCTGAACACCTGCTGTCCTCTTTAATATGACCTTGAGAGGAGAGGCTTCCTGAGGCTCTGCTGGAGTCTGTCCCTCAAAAGAGCTGCCTCTTGCTCGGCTTTCTGGCCAGGGCAGTGGGTGAGCTCAGCCTTCCTGATGTAGCAGAGCTCAAGCCAGTGTTGCCAGCCAGGCTGATGGGTTTGCACAGTAGCTTCACAGTGCGAAGTGCTTTGCTTTTATTTTTCTCCGAGTGGCAATGTAGTTAAGTGTTGAGGGCTGTCAGGTCAGGTTGCCCGCTGTGTTTGCATTCTCGCTCTATGACTTAATTGCTCTAGGATCTTGAGCAAATTATTTAGCTTCTTTTTGCCTTGGTTTCCACATCTGTCAAATGAAAATAATAGTAGTACTATACCTACCTCATAAGGCTCTCGTGAGGATTAAATAAGATGATATATACGAAGTGCTTAGGAGAGTGCCGGCACACCATAAGGCACTATGTGCTATTTTTAAGTCCTCTCTTATCTTTCATGCTTAGAGAGACCTGCTCCAAGTCTGATGGCTGTGACTTAAGATGGGAAGGTCGCGGGAGCCAGGTTGTGACTCTGGGTATTTGTCCTCTTCCCTGATAATGTCACTGCTTCTCTTCTTTCCTTTGTGGGTCGGGTGTGGAAGGTAAGGGATGTTAGACAGTGAGAGGGGACCCGGAAGCTGCCCCATCCCAACCTGACATCTGTCCTTCTCTTTGCTCAGGCCGCAGACATGGTTTTGGTCAACTGATGTTTGCAGATGGTGGCACCTACCTGGGTCATTTTGAGAATGGGCTCTTCTGTGGCTTTGGGGTACTGACCTTCTCAGATGGCTCAAGGTGGGTACTGGTTCATTCTTTTCTCAGCCTTAAACTAGGGAGAATCTGATCTAAAAATGATAGTAATAAATATCTGGTCAAACAAGAGCTTGTTCTAGGCCCTCTGAAAATAGGCAAGGAGTAGCATTTGTTTTTCATAGATCTAAAGTTTGAAATGGCAAGAGGTGAGTGACCTCCCTCCCCCCACTGCTCTGTTATTTCCTTGAGATTAGGGCCTCACATACATACTCTCTGACCCTCCTCTGCTGAAGGAGACTGGGGTGGGTAGAGCTCTGAGGTAAGTGGAGTCAGCTTTGCTCCTTGGCATTAATAAATAACACATATTGGTAGCTGCTTGTAAGAGTTAACCTGGACAGCTCACTACCCCACCAAAGGCTAATATCTTGTGTTTCTGCAGGTATGAGGGGGAGTTTGCCCAGGGCAAGTTTAATGGCGTCGGAGTCTTCATTCGACACGATAACATGACCTTTGAGGGGGAATTTAAAAATGGCAGAGTAGATGGCTTTGGTAAGTTGCAGCCCAGCAGGAGGGGAGACTTAGGTGAGCACAATATGGGTGGACGTATACCTTGTTCTCTTTAATCCATATGACAGCGCCCTAACGCCTGCCTGTTCGTCGAACTTACTGCCAGAGTCCTCCTGAGAAGGCTGTGAGGTTTTCTTTTCCTCAGCCTCTACCTGTCAAGCTGTTCCCTGAATCATTAATGCCACTGTCACTCCCATATTTCCTTTCTCCCTCAAAGGCCTGCTGACGTTCCCCGACGGGTCCCACGGGATACCCCGCAACGAAGGCCTGTTCGAGAACAACAAGCTGCTGCGGCGTGAGAAGTGTTCCGCGGTCGTACAGCGAGCCCAGAGCGCCTCCAAGTCAGCCAGGAACCTCACCGCCTGATGGGCGCTTTGTGCACCAGCTGACAAGTACTGGGTAAAGCAGATGCCCTGCTGTTCAGTCGAGGTGAATAAGTGAACCAGATGTGAGAGGAGATGGCATGACTGTGTGCTGTGCCACATCACCTGCCAGGCAGGGATGTGACCACAGAGAAGTTCTGATGACTATGGCCCAGGCCCTGCAGAGTGGTTACCAGTTCTGTCTTTTCCTTGTCTCGCTGTTGGTACTCTCTGTCCCTAACACCCTGGGTTACCCAGTGCAGACCTGCGCTGCCTTGTACTTCCTTTTCTGCTAAGTGATGCAGAATCTCTTCATTCTGCTTGTATTGGGGAGGGGAGGAGGTGATCCAAATATATCCCCCTGTGAAGGATTAGGTAACAGTGCTATTTCCCTTTCCCTGACTTTACAAGCTGTCTTGCTTACCTGAATTCTAGCAGATACTCCCTATTTGTGCCTCTCTCCTTCATTAGACATGGGACAGGATTCCTTTATGGGATAGTCAAGAAAGAGACTGATGTAAACAGTTATTTTATAACTTGTATTTATTACATACTTCAGGGCAAAGGGCAGACCTCTCTGGGCCATATCAGGTCCTACCATGGAGTGAGCTGAATCCTTAGAGCTGACATTGCTCCTTCCCAGTGGACCAATGGTTTAGGTAGAACTGGAGAACCCTGATGAACTAACTGAGCATTTGGCTCCTTGCATTTGGTTCACTGTAACTCTTCCACCACAAGCCTTGGCCATCAGGCCTGGGGATCAGATCTTGATTGATAGGGTCCCTACACAGTTCTTCACAGAGGCCTCCAGTTACCCTGTGACCCGAACACACCCCACCCCACCCCACTCCACCCCTTTATCCTCACACTGAATGTCTCCTCAATAGCAGATTATGGTGGAAATTATAGCCGTGTGCCTCTATTTATTCTTTGAATGGTACTGTAGAAACAGGTGTTTATGAGGAATAAAACTACCAGAACTGCCTATACTTAGTTTTCTTGAATTTCCTGTTATGTGTCCTCATGAATATTAACCCATTTGTTGTTTCTAAAAATTAATCACAGCCCGGCCGGCGTGGCTCAGTGGTTGAGCATCGACCTATGAACCAGGAGATCGTGGTTCGATTCCTGGTCAGGGCACATGCCTGGGTTGCGGGCTTGATCCCTATTGTGGGGTGTGCAGAAGGCAGCCGATCAATGATTCTCTCTCATCATTGATGTTTCTGTCTTTCCCTCCCTCTCCCTTCCTCTCTGAAATAAAAAATATATATATTTAAAAAATAAAAATTAATCACAGCCCTGGCCACTGTGGCTCAGCTGGTTGAGTATTGTTCCAAGCACTGAGAGAGGTCACTGGTTCAACTCCCAGTCAAGGCACATGCCAGGGTTTTGGGCTCGATCCCCAGTGGGGAGCCATGTAGGAGACAACCAACTGATATTTCACTCTCATATTGATGTTTCTCTCTCCCTCTCCCTTCTTCTCTCTCTAAAAATCAATAAAAATATTTAAAAATAAACATTAGTCACAGATGGGGGCTTGGAACTGACACTGCACACTTTATTATATATATATCATCTGATTATCAAAATCTCTGCACAGCCTTAGCTGGTTTGGCTCAGTGAATAGAGCGTCGGCCTGTGGACTGAAAGGTCCCGTGTTTGATTCTGGTCAAGGGCACATGCCCAGGTTGCGGGCTTGATCCTCAGTAGGGGGTGTGCAAAAGTTAGCTGATCGATGATTCTCATCATTGATGTTTCTATCTATCTCCCTCTCCCTCTCTGAAATCAGTAAAAATTATATTTTAAAAAACTCTCTGCACAGTAGGAGCATTTTTAAAAAATCTGACATGTTTAACCAATGTCATCCCAATAAATTCAGTTTTAAAAATTCAGGCTCAGGTTGTCCAAACTAGTGGCAGAGCCCGGTGGGGTTTGTTTCCAGGCCTTTCTGATCCCAAAGCACCTTACCCTGTGCTCCCCTCTCCCTGAGCATTGGTGCACACTGAGACCAGTTACTGTCACTCCTGCCCAGGTTTCCCTTTGTCCGCACATCCCCTGCCGCACTAACCCTGTGTACCCTGCTCGTACACAGGCCTGGGAGGAAGATGCTGTAGTGGAAGCTCAGGGCAGTTGGTAGTTTCCAAAGGTCCTGCAGACACAAAGGGGCAGATCCCAGAGCTTCGGCCCAGGCCGTGTGAGCCCAGGGGCCGAGCACTTCGCCAGGACACTCGCCTGCCTCCCGAGCCCTAACTTGTTGGTCCTTCCCTGAACCGGATTCTCCTCTGAGCTCAGATCTAGAAGTTGCCTGTGAGAAGAGTCCAGGTGCTAAGCGCCAAGCTTCAGCCAGTCAGATGCCCAGTTTTAGTTGAAAAGGGATACTTTTTACATTCTCTCCAAGCCTTTGCCCTAAGCAAGAAATCCGTTTACCTTTTTTTTTTTAACCAGAATAATTAAAAAAAAAAAATTCATATCAGGTTTTCTGCCACTTGTCAGATATCATGAGGAAGATTAAACATTTTGGAGAAAGCAGCCTTTCCGATTAATGTGCTAAATGTTTCTAAATATGTCAGTTGAACCTTTTTACCTCTCCCATTTAAAACTTCAATCAGCCTCACCCTCGGTTGTTGCTGATTTAATGCCTATGTTTGCTTAGTATTTTCTCAGAGCTGGGAAAAAGCAGACCTTGAGAGCTAAATTGCCTCTAGGTAGGTTCTGGATATCTGGGCAGGACACCTAAGGAATGCATAGCAGTGTAGTATCAATCTCTATAGAGCCACACTAGTTTAACTTATTGGACTTTATTACAATAACGAAGTGATTATTTTTAACAATAAAAGCAGAGTGCCTATAGGCAAGAGGATGGTCCTGTCTCAGGCCACGCCCCCTCCTGAATGGTTCAGACCCGTGATGACAACAGTCCTCTAGAATGTAACATCTATCCACTAGGTGTCATTATTTACCAATTCTGGGTTGTTCTCTGTGCACTTGACAGTTGAGAACAAAGCTAGAGACAAGAATATGAGATGAATCAAAAGGGGCTGTGGGAAGGGCACTGTGGCTGGAATGCATCTTGTGGTGGGAGGGCTTTCAAAGACAAGTGAGATTTTTCTGATCAGGTCCCCAGGAAAGAGTCAGAACTTGGGTTCTTAGAGTGGCCCTGGCTTCCCCTGCATGTGCTGGAATCAGGTTCGTATCTCCAAGTCTAAGGAGTCCTTCCTTCAGACACAGAGCCCTCCTGTGCCCAGCTGCCCTGCGCTTCCCCTCTGGCCCGGCTCACGTGTCTTGGGGGCATAGGAAACCACAGTAGAGAGCCAAGTAAGCAATTGCTCCTGCTCAGACGGAATGTCTCCAGAGACCCAGAGTTTAGGATACAAATTCAAGAAGCCGTGGGGCTGTAAGACTAGGAAATGAGCTTGCATAGCACCTGGTAAGAGGCACCTGACGGACTGAAGTAGGAAAAGGAGCCACGAACCCCCTTGTCCCCATGTTTCTCTTTGGACTGCGAGTACAAGTCAGGAGCTGAGATGGGCTCCCGCCTGTCCCCGCTTTGCCCTCAGAGCCAGCCATTGTTGGTGAAATCCAAGCGCAGCTCCTCCTCCTCCTCAGGGCTCAGCTCCTGCAAGGGGGCCCGGCAGGGGCCTCCGTAGTAGCCAAGCCAGTCCATGGCTTTCTTCAGCCCCGGGATCCCGAAGCGCCGGGTCACCTGAGAAGCAGGGCCTGTTAGAAGAGACTGGGGGATTCCTACACAATATGCCCCGGACCCAGACACTGTCACTCTTAGAAAGTTGGGGCTTCTACCCTTCTCCTCCATCAAATCTATGATACCCAGAGTGGATTGGGAATCCAGACTGAGAGACCAGAAGGCAGGTCGGCATTAGAGAACACAAAGCCAAAACCTCAAATGAAGACAGGGAGACGCCTCCCTTAGTTTTAGGGGGAAAATCCACCCCATGGGGAGGAGAGAAAGCAGCAATGCTGTGGGTCTGGGCGCTAGAATATGACCGGCCCACAGCATGGTTCCCTGGAACCTGACCCAGGGCACAGCAGGCCCAGGAAGTCAGGCCCAGCCCAGACCTCTACTGGCCCTGCAGGAGGGCCCTCCCTGACCCAACCCTAAATGCTCTCACAGGAAAAATAACGGATCTTTGTCCAAAGAAGTTTCACTGTGTAACCTTATATCATTAACTTAGTAACTCTGAGCAGGTTCTCTTGTCTATAAATGAGAGGGTAGGACATGATCGCTAAAATCTTTTCCATTGTCATGAGGGACCTAAGTCTCTTGTCAATTTAAAATCATGCATGGAGTTTTACAGAAAATGATGCATCAAGCTTCTGTGCTTTTAGCACAGCAACTGGTTATTTCATGCTGATCAGAAGTGTTAGATGAATCTTTGAATCCCTAAAAACTAGGAAAGTAATCATTACTTAATAAAGTTTTATTTGGAAGTAAGGAAAAAACCTTAGAAGTATGGGCTTCAGGACAAGTGGAAAAAAAAAAAAAAAAGGTTGTTTGGGGTAAAAAGGTCGGCAGCCTGATGAAAGGTTGACTAATAACTCTTCGCCATTAAGGCCAGTAGGCGTTAGCAAGCCTCTTCCCAGGCCTGGCCCCAGCCAGCCATGGTGTTCTAATAACCCGGGCATTTCAACCCAAACCTGAGCAGGGGAGAGCGTGGCCACAAGAAATATTAGAGACTAGTGGACACCAGAGAAACGCTTTCTCCCACCATAGGTGCCTGGAGATCTCTGATTTGCCCCTCTGCAGACCGTGAGAAAGGGTTGAATGCTTTGGTGTGCAGACAGTGGAAAGTCCTAAATATAGCCAGGAGGCTGGCTGGGTGAGAAGGCCAGGAAGGACATTGTGTTCAAGCCGGGCAGGGAAGTAAGGTGACATCAAGCTGATCTTGGAGGGCTGAGCCTACGGCCCAGGCAGCAGAAAGGTGTTCCAGGAATTCCTGAGTGTGTGCCCAGAGCTGGGAGAGGGGGAATTCCTGAGGGTAAGACAGGACAGCATGCATAGCACTGGATGGCAGCAAGCATCCTCTCTCCCCAAGGGGCAGCCCAAGCTGCTTCATCTGTAAAATGAGGTGATAGCAACACCTACCTCATGTCAGAAGAATTGAATGAGAAAAATGCCACCACGAGGCCAGACCCCCAAAGCCCTAGACCAGGGGTGGGCAAACTTTTTGACTCGAGGGCCACAATGGGTTCTTAAACTGGACCGGAGGGCCGGAACAAAAGCATGGATGGAGTGTTTGTGTGAACTAATATAAATTCAAAGTAAACATCATTACATAAAAGGGTACGGTCTTTTTTTTTTAGTTTTATTCATTTCAAACAGGCCGGATCCGGCCGGCGGGCTGTAGTTTGCCCACGGCTGCCCTAGACGCTGTCCTCTTCCTGGTCTAGTGTACACAGGTTCTGGGACCTTCCCTCTTACAGGTGGATGGGAGCAGGACAGCAGAGGTACTACCTCAGTGGAAAGTCCAGTATGTCCAGTACAGCCCGTGCCCTGGATGGGGCTCAGCTGAAAGGCCCTCATTTCTGCAGTTCTCACTTCCTATTTACAGAGCATCCTATCCCAGGAGAACCTTCACAGCCAGGGAGACTCATGCTTGCCTCCTCAGCTGTCCTTTCTCTACATCTGCGTTAACCTGCCCCTTTGAGGTAAAGACATAAACTGTGAGCGAGATCTGGCGCCTGCCCACCAATTTACCCAAACAAAAAACATTGCCCAGCTCAGTCTGGGACTGTTGTCTTAGATGCAAAACCTAAAGGGGCACCAAAAAGCTCAGTCATCAAGGTAAATAGGTCATGCAATTTAAAAAAGGTCAAAATCAATGCAAAAACATCCATAATGAATAAAGTATCAAAGTTTTAAGTTAAGACAGGATCCAACAGAACTATGCCCTGCCATATTGTAGCCTGAGGAAAAGAAAACATGTAAGGGAGGCAGTGTGCGGGCCAACTCTAACCATTGAGCTAACCAGCCAGAGCTGTTCTGTGTACTTTTTTTCATGGTTAATATTTTTCTAGAAGTAGATTTGGGGGGAAATTGTTTTGATAAGTTTGCTTCCATTCAAGCCAGGGAAGTAAAATTATAACAAATTGTTTTTGATATTGTTAAAATACTTAAAACTAAAAGAATGTTGTGAGCTTTAATACACCTACTTAAAATTTTTTCAATACTTTTAATGTTACGGGGGAGTGAAAAAAATCACCACGCAGAAAACTAGTTAAAGCTTCTACTTCCAAGAAGGTAGAATAGATGTACTTTTTCCTATGCTTCCCAATAAATACAATTTTTAAAAAAATCCCTGGACGTTATATAAAAACAAGCATAAAAAAGAGTCGGAAAGGTAGAGAGAAGGAAGACCAACTGGGGACCTCAGTACCGAGGAACAACACAGTGGTGGGTTAACTGGCCCAGACTTAGAGCTGAAGGTGCCAGCAGCCCTGAAATGCCAATGGGCAAAGACAAAAAGCCCCAACAAAAGGCCATTCTCCCTAGCCAAGGCCCAGGAAAGGAGCAGCCTAGTAAGATGAAAACTTTTAGACAATAGCCACTCTATTCCAGGCTAAACCCCATAAAAAATAATAAAAAACGGTGGGCCCCACCCTTACCCAGGCCAGCAAGGCTACCCCCCATTCAGCAGGAGTGTGCCTCCCCATCCATAAAGGATGGTCTCAGAAGAGGCCTAGTGAGGAGTCACAAGTTTTACTACTGTCCACGCTTAAGAGGCCATCTCCCCCAGACACACTCATGGTGTCCGTGGAGGCCACGTGGGAGCGATAGGCGGCACTCCCACCTCCCCAGCCCAGGTGGCATCAGCAGAGCCCTGGTGCAGAGCTGAAAAAAAATTCTAAACTCCTGCAAAAGCATCTCCAGGCCTAGCTGGTATCACTGGAGAATTAAAAAAACTGTGTAAAAATAGGTGGTGTATTAATTCTATATAGAGCCTCTTCCAGAAAACTGAAGAGGAAAGAACACTTTCCAATTGATTTATGAAGCTACCATATTTTTATCCAATACCAAGTTAGACAAAGACAGGAGAAAGAGAGTGAGAGAGAGAAAAGAAAACTACATGCCAATATCCCCCATAAATATAGGTAGAAAAATCCTTAATAAAATATTACCAAATGGAATTTAGCAATATATCAAAAGAGTTATACACCATGACTATGTGGGGTCTATCTAGGGATGTAAGTCTGGCTCTATATTTGAAAATTGACCATCTCAATCAATGTAGAAAAACATTTGACAAAATTCAACACCCATTAATGATTTTTAAAATTCTCTGAAAACTAGAAAAGAGGGGGAACTGCCTCGCCTTGGTAAAGAACATCTATAGAAACCTACAACTAGCATTCTACTTAATGGTGAAAGGCTGAATATCTTCCCTCCAGATCAGGAACAAGGCAAGGATGTCCAGTCACCACTCTTATTCAACATTGTGCAGGAAGTTCTTGTCAGTGCAATGAGGCAAGAAAGGAACTAAAACATATACAGATCAGAAGGAAGAAATAAAACTTTCCCTATTTGTAGATGATATGATTATTTGTGTAGGAAATCCCAAGGAATCTACCAAAAAAAGTCCTAGAACTAATAAGTGAGTTCAGCAAAGTCATAAGATAAACATACAAATATCAACTGTGTTTCTATGTGCTAACAATGAACACATGAATAGTGAAATTAAAAATATAATACCAGCCCTAGCCGGTGTGGCTCAGTGATTTGAGCGTTAGCCGCGCACCCAAAGATTCTGGGGTTTGATTCCTGGTCAAAGGCACGTACCTGGATTGCAGGTTCGATCCCCTAGCCCTCGTCGGGGCTCATGTCGGAGGCAATCAATTGATGTGGCTCTCTCACATTGATGTTTCTCTCTCTCTCTCCTTTTTTCCCCCTCTCCCTCCCTTCCATTCTCTCTACAAAGCAATGGAAAAAATGTAAAACTATACAATTTTAGGGGAAAAAAATAGGAGGAAATCTTCACAATTTGGTGGTAGGCAAATAGTTCCTTAGGCGAGGATTAACAACAATAACAAAAAATGCAATACCATTTATAATCATTCAAAAAATATAAGTCACTTGGGTATAAATCTCTCAAAACTTGTATAGGATTTGTTCGCCAAAAATTACAAAATGCTCATGAAATAAATCAAAGGAAGTCGACACAGATAGAGAGAAATATCACATTCAAAGTTTTGGAGAAAACATAGTAAAAATGTCAATTGTACCCAAATTGGTATACAGGTTCTTATCAAAATCCCAGCAAGAGTATTTGTAGATATAGACAAGATTATTCTAAAATTTATATGGAAAGGCAAAGGAATTCGACCTAAAACTGTTGAAAATGAAATGGGAAGAATCAGTCTACCTGATTTTAAGATTTATGCTATACTACAATAATAAAGTCTACGTGACATTGCAGAGGGATAGGTCAATGGAAAGAATAGAGAATCTAGAAATAGACCCACACAAATACGCCCGACCGATTTCTGACAAAGGTGCAAAAGTAACTCTGGAGGAAAATCACCTTTTCAACAAATGCTGCCGCCACAAGTGGATATCTATAAGCCAAAAAAAGAACCTCAATCTTAAGTCTCCCGCTTTACACAAAATTAACTCAAAAATGGGCCACAAACTTATAAAATGTAAAATTATACAATTTTAGGAAAAATAGGAGAAAGTCTTCACAATTTGGTGGTAGGCAAATAGCTCTCTTAGACTTGACATCAAAAGCTAAACATAAAAGAAAATATTGATAACCTGGACATTATCAAAATAAAAAACTTTTGCTCTTCAAAAGACATTTAAAGAGAATGACAAAACAAGCTACATACTAGTAGTGGGAGAAAATATTTGCAAACCACATATTTCAAAAAGGATTAGTATCTAGGAGATGTAATAAACTTCCAAAACCAACAGTCAAAAACCAAATAATCCAATTAGAAAAGGGTCAAGCAACATAAATTGACATTTCATCTACAAGCATAGACAGATGGTGAATATATACATGGAAAGATGTTCCATAGTGTCAGCCGTAGAGACATGCAAGCTAAAACCACAATGAAATATCACTCCACACCTATGAGAATGGCTAAAATAAAAGATAGTCACAAGATCAAATTCTGGTGAGGATGCAGAGAAATTGGATCACTCATACACGTATACCGATATCAATGTAAAATGGTACAGCCACTCTGAAAAACAGTTTGGCAGTTTCTTAAAATAAAAATTAAACATGCAACCATCATGTGATTCAGCAATTGTGTATTTATCCTAGGAAAATGAAAACCTATGGTCACACAAAAACATGTACATGCGTGTTCATAGAAGCTTTGAATAGCCCAAACTGGACACACCTAGCTGTCATTCAACAGTGAACGGTTAAACAAGCTGTGGTATGGCCCTACCATGAATTACTCCTCATCAAGAAAAAGGAACCATCTTCTTGAAACGTGCAACAGCTAATGAATCTCCAGAAAATGGTTCTGAGTGAAAAAGCCAATCGCAAAAGGTTATAGACTAGATTATTTCATTTATATAACAGTCTTGAACTGACAGAATTTAAAAGTTGGTAAACATATCTGTGGTTGCCATCAGTTACAGAGAGGGTAGGGGCAGGAGGTCAGTATGTGTGGCTCTAAAAGTGGAACATGAGGGATCTTTGTGGTGATGAAATATTCTGTATCTTGACTATATCAGTATCAAAATCCTGGCTGTGCTATTGTTCCTACTGGGGAAAACTGGGTAGTGGTTCCCTGTATTATAAGTTTAATTTAAAATAGACATAAAGCCCAGCCGGTGTGGCTCAGTGGTTGAGCATGGACCTATGAACCAGGAGGTCACAGTTCAATTCTCAGTTAGGGGCCTGGGTTTTGGGCTCAATCCCCAGTAGGGGATGGGCAGGAGGCAGCCGATCAATGATTCTCTCTCATCATTGATATTTCTATCCCCTTTTCCCTCTCCCCTCCTCTCTCTGAAATCTACCTACCTACCTACCTATCTACTTATAGGGACACACATTTTTCTTTTTGCCTTGGGCTCCAATATGGCTCTGCACAGCACTGTCTGGCATTGACAGGCTTTCTCTCTTGGCTCTTCTCGACTTGCCCAGCACAGAACTGGGGTATGTGGTCTGACTGCAGAACAGATTATTTGAAGACAGAATTCTAAATACCTCCAGTTTCTCCGTTACTACTCCCAATCATTCTGTTAGGACCTGGCCCTTTATAGAGGCCCACAGACCCTTTCTCTAGGTAGTGATCTAAGTCAGGTCCCAGGACAACTTCTGTCACAATCACTCAGGATGCTTACCTCAATGCCTATTTGTGAGCCTAAAGGATTATAATTTTAACTAGATTCCTGAATGAATGCTAATGCACACGAAAGTTAGGGCTCAGCTTTGTCTGAAGTCAAGATTTTCTGAGGAGGCACAAGAGTTCCCACACTGGGATGTTTTCTGAAAGGGAAGAGAATGAGTGGGGACCCCTGGGCCTGCCCTGGATCCCGCTATAAGGAGGACATAGAGCCACCTCCCCCCACCCCCCCAACCCTTTGCTGCCATTGGCTGGGAGCTCACCGCAGTGTTCGGCTCAATGAGGCGGAGCTGTAGCTTCTGGGCATCTTCCCATTGCCCTGTGAGGCAGAGTCGCTCCAGCTGGCACACCTGAGCCCCCAGGACATTGGCCAGGGCACACACGCCCCCCACAGCTCCTGCCCGGGATAGGATGCAGAACATCAGCCAGAGCCTCTTCTCACAGGGAATTCCAAACCCCGGTCCAGTACATCTTTGTGAGGAGCTAGGATGTGGGTTTCCATGCCACAGGTTGGCCATGTCAAAGGCACGCTCCACGCGTCCACAGAGCACAGACAGACAGCTGCCAGCATAGTCGGTGACGTAGAGCCCGCAGATCAGGGAGCAGAGATTGGAGGCTAACTCAAGGCAGTTCCTTCCCTGCTCTCCTTTCCCCTCCCCCGCAAAAAAGTAAAGTTCCCCCTGCCGCTTGGCACCTCTACACTCCTCTACTGGCCGCCTGACTCACCAGTCCTGGAAGGGGTGAGGTGAATGGGAAGTCTTTGCTCTTCTGAAACCTTACCCTGCCCCCGTCGGCCCCCCACCTCCCATCCTGAATTCAGCCTGGAACACGGGTGGGGTGGGGTGGGGGAGTGGAAAGTGGTCTGGACACAGGACACCGGGCATTTCCTCCCATTGGCTGCATAAACCTGGACAAGTCATAGGCCCTCTGGTCCTCTTGGTTCTCACTGGGGCGGGAAAGTGGGCTGGCTGCCATCGCAGGGGCCCTGCCACTCCTGCCAGCCTGTGAGTGTGACACTAAGGTTAATGAGGAGTGGCCCTAAGCAGAGGGGCTTGGGCAGTGGAGAGAAAGTAGGCAACTGTCAATAAGTTTATACAGCTGCCATTTATTGAATCCCTATCATGTGCCAAGCACGATGGCAGACATAGGGCCGGTGCTCTCTCACTCTCACAACACCTCCCTGCTTTACAGAATAGAAACTCAAACCCAGGGAGGCTGAGTACCTCGCCCACTGACACTAGGTGAGTCAGTGAGCTGAGAACAGCAGAGCTGAGATTCCAGCTCAGACCCGGGCCGCCAGGTCCTTTTCCATCTACCCCATCCTCAGGAACAAGGCAGAACTGAGTCCCCTTCTTCCCCTATACTTTAAAGACACGGAGAGGGATGTGCAAGGACGTAGACAGTGAACCAAAGTCTGCATAAACCAGAGAGAATAGGACCCAGCAGCTTTGGAAAAGTAACTTAAATCTGTGTCAGCTGAAGGAGCAAATGCCCCCATTCACTCTAGCCTGGAACCAGAGAAAGAGGAAAGTCAACTGCGGACTAAAGGGGAGGGCCCCAAGGCCTCTGTGAGATTAAGGAGCTAAATTTGCCACCTAAGCATGGAGCTTGGGATTAGAGCAAACTGTAAGCATTCCAACGATAGGCCAGGGTTTATGCACGGCCACCCTCCTCCGCCCAGCAAGGTCACTCACAAGCACCCAGTGTCCAGACAAGCAACAGTGTGCTCAGCTTCTGAGGTTACAGAGCAGGCAAGCTGGCAAAGGCCCTCTGCAGACCCAGTCCTTTCGGCAGACCCCCAGCTTCCTGGGTGTGTCTGGGTCACCCTCACAGTGTGAGAGCAGCGGGAGGCCTACCCACGGCATAGCTGGCCAGCAGGAAGCCGGCCGATCCGGCCAACACCTGGAAATCCTGCCTCCTGGTCTTGTGAATCATCAGCCCGATTCTGGTCACCTGCAACAGCAAAGCCCGGTGTGAGTGGGGCCCAGAGCCGCAGGCTAGCCTGGGGGGGGGGGGGCCGTATGGGCGAATGAGAGCCTCCCCTCCCCCGCCCCACTCTGCCAATCCCACAGGACAGAGAAGACCCAAACTGAAGCTGGTCCCAGAACTGCCCTGAAGATGGTAGCAAAAGAGAAATGGATGGTGCCCCCAGCCAGGAGCTGCTGCCACTCACATCACCACCGCTGTCCTTGATGCCAATGATATTCGGGTGCTGGGAGAGCGTGACCACCGTGTCCACAGGCAGGTCTAGCCCCGTGTTGGCTGGGACATTGTACAGCACCACAGGAATTGGAGAGAGGTCAGCGACCTGAGGGATGCAGAGGAGAGGGGAGAGGGCAGCTGCCCAGGCCCAATAGGTCCGGGCCAGGGCGCCCTGGACAGGCCCACCTCCTGGACCAGAAGTCACAGTGCCACATTGCCCTGTTTGAGAGCAGTAACAGTGGATAGTAATTAGTGAGTGTTTTCTATGTGCCAAGCACCGTCCCAAGTGCTTTATGTTTTGATATAATTTAGTCTTCACAACACTGTGAAGAAGTACCTTTATTCCTCCTATTTGAGAAGGAAGGAAACAGAGACAGCATGGTTAGGGCAGTCACACAATGTCACACAGCTGGCACATGGCACCATTTCTCCCCTTCCCAGAGCTGCCGTTCATGGGGCGTAGGCTCACCACTCTGTTCCCAGCTTCTCGGTCTCCTTTTCTCAGGCAGTGTCCCCCTCATTCAGCTTCCTCTTGGTCCCAGCTCTCACCCCCATGCCCACCCCTCACACCCACCTTGGTGTAGTGGTGAATGAGGGCAGCGCTGCTCATGCGGCCACGATAGTAGCAAGGAGCCAACACCATGGCGACGTCAGCCCCAACCTGGGCCATGCTCACAGTCATCTCCACCGTGGCCTGAGTAGCTGCAGGAGGAAAGAGGGAGTCTTCCCTATCATGCAGGGTGAGAGCAGGAGGAGGAAGAGGGCTGGGCTAGGACCCTGGGGCAAGCAAGGGGTGCAGAAGAGACAAACAAGTAGGCTGAACCCAGCCCCTGGGCCAAGGAGCCTGGCCACCCACCCCCAGGGACTCCCAGGGCCCAGGGCATTATGGCCTCACACTCGCAGCCAGAGCCAGCTACCAGGAGCTTGTCCTTGGGCATGGCCTGGCGCACGCGGCTCACCACCTCCAGGCGCTCACTGCTGGTCAGGAAGGGGAATTCGCCATTGGAGCCCTGGATCACAAAGCCTGCGGGGAGACCGCATCACATCAATAGACACCTTCCCATCCTCTTATGAACAGCAGGGACATTGCTATTACACTCGCCCAGGTTCCTACCTCCCGGAAACCATAGCTTTTCACACATTTCCTTCCCATCTTTGTTCTGATGCAGCCAGAATGTTTTAAACAGTTGCAATAACAGTGTTCACACCATTTTTCTTTGTTTTAATGAACTGTTTTAGCCATACCCCAAAGAATAGATAATAACATAATCCACATATGTGTATTCAGTACCCATGGCAACCCTCCCCTCGTCACCTTCCTCTTCCTTGTCTTGCTGTCCTGACTCAGGTGTTATTGTTCCCATTCATGTCTTTCTACCCTTCAGACATATATTTGGACCAATAAACAAGATATAATATGGATTTTGACACTTTAAACTTTATAGAATAAAATCAAACTTATCTGCATCTTCCGCAGTTTGCTATTTTTGTCCAACATTGTGTCCGTAGCAGGACATGTAGCTATGATTCAGTCATATTCATTGTCCTATATAAGAAAAGCCCAGCGACCGAACAGCAGAACGACCAGAATGACTGGTCAACCAGTCACTATGATGTGCACTGACCACCAGGGGGCAGACACTCAATACAGGAGCTGCCCCCTGGTGGTCAGTGTGCTCCCACAGCAGGAGCAGCCACCCAGAGGGTGGGTCCACAGCCGCTCCGCTGACTGGGATGAGCAGTGCTTCCACAGCAGCCGATCCCCACAGGCCATGCTCCCCACCAGTGCATGAATCCCATGCACCAGGCCTCTAGTCATATAATATTCTATTGTGTGCTTAGACCACAATTTACTTTTTAAAAAATTGATTTTGAGAGAAAGACATTGATTTGTTGTTTCACTTATGCATTCATTGATTGATTCTTGTATGTGATCAGGAATTGAACCCACAACCTTGACATATCACGATGATGCTCTAACCAACTGAGCTACCTACCAACTGAGCTACCTGGGTAGGGCCCACAATTTACTTTCCATTCTCCCTTTGAGGACATTTTCAATTTTAATTTTAATTTTTTGTTAATCCTCACCTGAGGATATTTTCCATTGACTTTTTTTTTAGACAGAGTGAAAAGGTGGAGAAGAGACAGAGAGAGAACCTGGGACAGACCCTTCAATCCACAAGCCGACACACTGTCCACTGAGCCAAACTGGCTAGGGTCCTTTGGACATTGAGAACGTTTCCTTATTTTTGCTAGCATAGCTAAAGCAAACATTTTCTGGAAAGTCTTCCGTGCCCATGTCTAAGGGATTCCCTACAGTCGACTTAGGTGTGTAATTAACAAATTGCACCCCTGCACGTGCCATGCTCTCTGATTATCCAGGTCACGCCCATCAGCACAAAGAAGAGTCTGTCAGTCCTCGTCCAGGCCAACACGGGGCTGTCAGCACGATTTTTTGCCAATTTTCTAGGTTAAAGGTGACATCTCAGTCTTGTCTTTTTCATGTTCCTGTTTTATCAATCACTGGAATGGTTCCTAACATTTCCAGCTAAAGGTGTCAACCCTTTTATATCCATAAGAGACCAGCAGAACTGCTATTCGGCACAGCCGTGGGCAAACTACGGCCCGCGGGCCGGATTCGGCCCGTTTGAAATGAATAAAACTAAAAAAAAAAAAAAAAAGACCGTACCCTTTTATGTAATGATGTTTACTTTGAATTTATATTAGTTCACACAAACACTCCATCCATGCTTTTGTTCCGGCCCTCCGGTCCAGTTTAAGAACCCATTGTGGCCCTCGAGTCAAAAAGTTTGCCCACCCCTAGAACCATTTCCTTCCCTCGCCCCCCCCCCTTTTTTTTTAACTTTCTCTTTCCTCTTCTTTCTCCTCTCTACTCCATTCCATTCCAAAAATATTTTTCTTCCATAGCTGAGAAACACAGCATAAAATACAAGATTATTAGTAAATACAAGTGTTTGGGAGAAAGGAAAGAAAACAAAGCCAGGAACGATATTGATTTCCAAACCCCTGTCACACACTTGTGAGCGATGAATTTGATTTGGAGCTTCCCAACTGTCAGAGCTAAAAGGGAAACATGGTCAGCTGACAGGCATGTAGAGCTCAAGATAAAAGCCAGGCGGCCGCCCCGGAGAAACACAGGGTTTCCTGGCACTGGGACCAAGAGAGAGTGTTCCCGTGAGTCATCCATCCTTCAAGGGACACAGCGTGATGTGGAGGCCGTTACACCACAAACCTTTCCCTGCTGCTCGCTACACCGTTAGAGTCCACTCTGCAAGTTGCCAGGCTAGCTCACCAGATCCTTAGCGGCCTTCTTCTTTTCAGGTTTTTGCCTCGCTAACCTTACGGGGACCATCTGGAGGCAAACAGCTTTGGGCGTCTGTTGCGTTGCCTCCTGAGAAGCTGCTCCTCCGCATCAGGCCCGAAGCCAATGGTCAGAGCCTCTTGCTACACAAGGCCCCGTGCTTTCCCGGGGGGCCATCCCCATTTGTAGAGCTGCCAACCCTGGAGGAAGGCTCCAGTCCAATCGGGATTGGACCAGCACCCTCTGATTTAGAGATCAAAGACTTAGAGATGAAGTCTTGGCTACTCCCTCTATTCAAATGGAAGAATATCTCCCTCCCCAACCGTGCCTGCCACCCCTCCTCGAAGGGGGCCGAGATGGGGTCTTTCTCCAGCTACTTCTTCAGCCATAGCCACTCACGCCCAAGTCCCCCTTCATTCTGGTGGTTAGTTCCTCAACAGCTCCTCAGTTCCTCACTGGTGGACCTGCCTCAACAGCAGTGGTCAGAGACCCCCACTCTGAGGGTAAAAGAGGACCCTCACTCCTAGTGGCCCGCTTGGCATGGCTAAGTGGTTGAGCATCGACCAATTAACCAGGAGGTCACAGTTCAATTCCTGGTCAGGGTACATACCTCGATTGCAGGCTCGATCCCCAGTAGGGGGTGTGCAGGAGGCAGCCAACATCACCGATGTTTCTCTCTCCCCCTTTCCCCTCCTCTTGAAATCAATTAAAAAATATATATATATTATTTTAATTGATTTAAAATAATCAATTAGAGCCTGATGCATGAAATTTATGCAAGGGTCCTGGCCCTCACAGCCCCGGCTACATCCAGAAGGTCGTCTGGCTGTCCAGTCTAATTAGCATATTATACTATATATATATATATATATATATATATATATATGCTTAAAGACTCCTAGTGGCCTCTCCCTTGTGTCATTTAAGGGAGCATCTGACCCAGTCCTAACTCCCAAGAGGGAAGAAATGCCAGGCTGGGGAGAGGCATGTGGTAGAGTCAGGAAGCACTGGACCCAAGTCACCTCTGGCTATTGAGCCAGTCACATCACGCCTCTGAGTCCCCATTTCCTTTCTATGGGATGACAATAAAATCATTTCAGTCCTAACCTTACAGGGCTGTCCTAAAGGCGCAAAGAAGAAAATGTACAATAAAGCCTTTTGAAATCTGTGAACTGCTGCCCCAGGAGCCCCTTCTTACTTGGCTAGGTGTGCAATTTCAGACTCAATGTGTCTCAGCATATATATATATATATATATAAAGCCACTTATTAGTAATGTCAAAAATATTCAAAGACTTCTAACTCTGGACTCATCTGGGGACGGTGGGCATGGGACTGGCCTTCGAACAGGGCAGTGGGTCTGGGTCTGGCTTCAGGGTTAGCTGAAGCAGGGCTCTAACCCCAGTGACATCACAGTCTCAGTCATCTCAGGCGAATCACACCTCTGAGCCTCAGTGCTCATCTGCAAAATGGAGAGAATGTAATCTCTTTCTCGTGGGTCTGTGCCATTAACAACCCAGAACGTGGCATACACTGAAAACAAGCAAACGAAACCTGAGAAAGAGAGAGCTGTTGGTGGTAGTAGTACTAGCAGCAGCAGCAACCCCAGCCCCGGCAACGCTAATGTAAACAAGGAGAGAGAATATACAGCACAGTAGCTCTAAGGGTGTGTTGGGGGGTGGGGGGTGGGCACTACATGGATCCCTGTGGGTGCAGGGAGCAGGCGGGCAGGGAGGACTGCAGCAGGGCTGCCACGGGACTGGAGAGGCCATAGACCGGCGGAGGATGGCACCAAGAGGCAGGGGCTACAGCTTACTTACTTGCTTCCAGAAGTCTATCTCACCTCCTTCCCCCCGATTCTTGGCTGCTTCCTCTTTCCCTGACAACAGCAGGTTGGTGGGTAGGAAGCCTCTTGGAGATATCCCGTCCCCAGAACCTGAGACCTGGGAAGCCGTTTATGGTGTCTCACATCAGCTCAGCAAAAAGGCCCCAGGTCAAGGCCCACACCAAAAAGGGGTGTGGGAGAAGGACCCCCCCATTCCTGCCCAGCCCTGAGGCTGGCTACAGAGCCCCCAGACTCAGAGTGAGGGGGTGCAAGGCTTTATTGGCTCAGGCATGTGGCATCAGTGTGGCTCTCAGCTGCTCCTGGGATCTGCCTCATCTGTCTTCTCTCAGTGGGTCTACAGGAACCTGTGAGTCTGTTTCAGCTGCTTTGCTCCCTCCAAGGTCTTCCTCCATTAGGGCCCATCCTCTGTCGCAGATTCCACTCATGAAGTTGAAGGGGTCCACCTGAGGAAGAAGGGGTTGGGATGACCGCATCTCACTCTGGGCCACAAAGGCTGTCCCACGGGAGAGAAAACAGGCCTGTGATTGTAAGCCAGCCCTGTTGGGGGAAGGGGCTTCTCCATCCGTGGTTAGATGGCTTCGAAGGGCTGATAGGTCTGATGGCTGCGGTTGGGCAGGCTGTGGCTCTGGTGGTGGTTTGGGTGGCTTGGATGATCCTGGTGGCCATGGTGACCATGGCCATGGAAGGTGTGTGTGTGGTTCATACCAGCGACAGTGGTTTCCCGCTGCGCGAGGAAATTGCTCTTCAGCTTTATCTCCACCTCCTGGAGGGCCTTCAGCTCCTCTTGGTTGAGGTCCTTGGACTCCAGGTGGCCTGAGTTCCGGTACACCATGGCCCGCTGCAACATGGAGTTGGCCAGCTGGCGGCCCTTGGTGTCAAGCTCCTTAGTACTAGCAGCCACGGCGGCCCACGTGGCCTCGTCTGTGGATGAGGACTCCTTGTGGGTCTCTCTGACCACTGAGTACGCAGGCACCTTCTGCTTGTTGGCGAAGGGCTCCCTTGAGGCGGGGTTCTCCATGTGAACCGCGGTGCCGGCCTCTCGGTTGACAGTCTCAGGCTGGGGGGCGGGGGCGCTGCCGGGGGCCGGGGCGCTGCCAGGGACCAGCTTCTCGTTGGAAAGGCGGCTAAAGTGAGATTTGATCCAGTTCTCATTCTGCGCTTTGTGGCATTCTTGTGGCTCATGCTCCTCTTGTGGAGACACAGAGGCTATCTTCCTCCTCCTACTCCTCTTCCGAAGCCACAGCATGAGGCTTCCACCTCCGATTAAGAGGACCGTCCCCAGCACCACCTTGCATGATGGTTGCTGGATGAGCTCCAGAAAGTTCTCCAGGACCCTAGCCAGGCAGGCAGAGCTAAGAGTGCACTGGGACGGGGGGAGCCCGGGTGGTATGTTTCATGCTTGAAAGGGCAGGCTCCCTGTGGGTGTCTGGCAGGCCGGCCCACTGCTGCACCCTTCCTAGGATACGCCTCCCGCCTCAGCAATGAGCCCCATTATGAGGTTCATTGGTTGGGGGAGGGGGCGGGGGGAGAAGGCTACAGCATCCCTCATGTCGACCCCGGCAGGCATTGTCTGAGGCCCAGGTTCTGTCTCCCACCCTGACGGCTATCCCCAAGATCAGTGGAAGGGCAGCTTCCCCAACTCTGAGTCCCTTCTGTCTTCTGCTTGTGACCATTCTGCAACTCAGTCCTTCTTATCTTCCAGCCTTTGGTTTCTCTTCTTTGCTATCCAGTGGTTCCCAGCAGGCAGAGGTTTCTAGATCAGCAGTTCTCAACCTGTGGGTCGCGACCCCTTTGGCAGTCGAACGACCCTTTCACAGGGGTCGCCTAAGACCATCCTGCGTAACAGATATTTACATGACGATTCATAACAGTAGCAACATTACAGTTATGAAGTAGGAACGAAAATAATGTTATGGTTGTGTCACAACATGAGAAACTGTATTTAAAGGGCCAGAAGGTTGAGAGCCACTGTTCTGGATGAAGCTGTTGGTGGTGGAAGGACACCCTTGGTTAGGCTGGCATCCATTCCTGGCCACCTGAGGCAGCATCTCTCTCCATCCAGGACCCATATCTGCTGCCAGCGCATTCCATCCCCACTTGCAGCCCCCAGCCCCGTCATGGAGCAGGGTCCAGAAGGAAAAGGGGTCCAGCAAGGAGCTCATTCTAGAATAACATGAGGTCACAAATGGGGGAGGGGAAGACAGCAGGGCTGAGAAGGCAGAGCAGATAGGACAAGGGCAGTCACCGGGTCCCAGATCCCTGGGGCCATTTCAGGATGCGGCTGCTACATCTTGTCTTGGTGATGCACCTGCAAACCCAGAATATACCACCACCCCCGACCCACCCCGTGCATGGGCACAGTCCTGGTGTGAGCAGGTGGGCCAGCCCTCCAGGCTCTCCAAAGGCACAGACAACTGACAGGCTGGCCCACATCCCAAATTATATCCAGGGCCTCGGGGTGCAAGCGGGTCTGGGCTGCTCTATTTTTCCACCCAGTGGCAGCTAACACATTTTTTTTTAATGAAATGTTAAAATAGGATTGTAAAAATTGTGAGATTTTAAACAGAATATTTTATTTAATGCAGTAATGGCTTTAATATACACAAAAATATTCTATCTTATCACAAGAAAACATGGTCTAGTCCACATACTAAGGGAAGAAGACACAAGCTTAAAGTTCTATGGGAACACTAACTCCCAGTCTGGCTGGAGTAGCTCTGTGGTCGTCCAATGACCTCGTTTGGAAATAACAATTCAAAGTTCATCTCTGAGGTGGTTTGTGGGAGTGAGTTCAGGACCAAATGGCCCCTCAGCAACAACTCCACCCTCCAGTCTCTAGTTGTAACTTGTATTTTAAAAGAATACTCTTTATTCAAATAGCCAGTACAAATTAACAATGAAAACATAAAAATAAAGAGCTACACTAGTCCATCATAGTATAAGAACGATGTATGGTATCAGATGGCATTAGATTTATCGGGATGATCACTTCGTAAGTTATGTGAGTGTTTAATCACTAGTTGAAACCTGCAACTAGTATAATTTGTCCGTCAACTATAATAGAAAAATTAAAAAATATTTTAAAAAAGCTACAGGGTTTCAGGCCATGCCTTCCAGAACAATCTCTAGCTGTTCACCGATTCATCAAGGGCAGGCTCCCCGCTTTGGGGGGGCCTTCATCTTGGTGCAGGGGCCCTGGCAATGAGAATGATGGTTCTCCCCTCTGCCTCTGAGTGTTGAGCTGCAAAGCAGGGCCAGGATCAGGCAAGAGAAATGCCGATTTCACAGCGAAAGTGGCCCATAGCTCCCTTCCTGGGCGTCTGTCTGTGTCCTGGGACCAGTGACAGGACCCTATGGTTCTATGTTCCTTGTGCTAGGGCCTCATGTTTGAGCTCTTTGGGAGAAATGCGTTGAACCCGGTGGCTCAATTCCCATCTAAAATGAGGAAACTCGCCGAAACTGGTTTGGCTTAGTGGATGGAGCGTCAGCCTGCGGACTGAAGGGTCCCGGGTTCGATTCCAGTCAAGGGCATGTACCTGGGTAGCGGGCACATCCCCAGTGGGAAATGTGCAGGAGGCGGCTGATCGATGTTTCTCTCTCATCGATGTTTCTGACTATCTCTCTCTCCCTTCCTCTCTGTGAAAAATCAATAAAAAATATATTTAAAAAAATAAAAAATAAAATGAGGAAACTCTCCAAGGTCGCTGTTCACTAGTGGAACCAGGGTGCTTACCAAGTCTCCTCACTCCAGATGCTGGCTCTTTCCACACAGCCCACTGCCCCTCCCCCCACCTTGTGTTGGGGGGAAGAGAGAGGGGAGGTGGGAGCAGGCTCCTGGGTGGGTTGCATGGGAGATGGACTAATGCCTGCCAAGTCCATGGCAGCCTATGCTCCTGGGCACTGCCCTGCCCTCTGCAGGAGTCCGGGGGAGGGTTCAAAGAACCTGAGGGTCTCTGATTCTCTGGGTGGTAGGGAGACATCAAACCCAAAGTCCACCCTCCCCACCCCCTGTGCTCAGGTGTCCTTGAGCCTAGAAGGTGAAGCAGAACCTTCTCTCCTCTTAGGGATGTAAGGAGCTTCTCACTTTGCTTCAAGAGAACCAGGCCTCAGCTCAGACCTTCAGGCCCCCATGACCCGAGTCCCAGCAGAAATTTACTTAGTGTTTGTGTCACAGCTCAAAGTGGGCGTCCACAGGGCATTCACTGTCCTCTAAGGAAGGATCCCATCACCTCAGACCGAGACATGAATGGGGTCTCAGGCCGGCAGGCACTGTCCCAAAGCGGCTTTGCCCACAGTCCCGTGCTGTCATCCTAACAATCATTATCCTTGGACTCAGTACCTTCCAATGTCTCGCTCTGCCGCTTGCCGCATGCTTTCACTTGCATTCTCTCGGATTTTCTCCCTACCGTCCTATGAGATGGGCATTATAACTCCCATGTGTCAGATGGGGGACTGAGGTTTAGGGAGACTAGCTCATAGCTACGCCAGTAATAGTGTAATCACTACTCCAGTTTCAAATCAGGCAGAGCTGTGATTTGAAACTAGAGTCCATGTTCTTAATTGCTCCACGCACCGCCTCAGCCGGACCCACTCCATTCCCAAAGCCGGTGCTGACCAGACTCTGCTGAAATCGTCTGGCCTAGCAACTCAGCAGTCAGTGCAGTGGAGTGCAACTCAGCATGGCTGTGCAGTCCGACCTGGGTTCAAATCCCAGCTCAGCCACGTACCAGTAAGTCTAACTTCATTTATTGTGCTTGTGGCTGTGCTGTATGTCGACTGCCACTAATATAATCTGGTCCCTGGCCTCAGAGAGGCGAGACCCATGTGCATAGGGGAAATGAGTCAGAGAATCCAGAACAGGAATTAATTTGGCCAAGGGAGGCTTTACCCAGAAGAGAGAGTGCAAACAAGGCTTTGAGGGGTGTGAGCCTGCTGGCTGGCCTGCCACTGGACACCTGGCTGCCCTCACACCTGCACTGGGTGCCAGGTTAACAAGGACTTTCACACCCATTATCTCATTTGATCCTCATAATAATGCTGAGAGCTAAGATGGCGCGTTAGCAGTTTACAGCTGTGGGAACTGAGGCAGCAGGGATTCAGTTGGGGTCTCAAGTCGGCAGGGAGCTTCCCACCTGACTCTGTGCCTCTCCCGTAGTGAAATGAGCCCAGGGCACTGCACTGCACTGCTTCTGAGCAGCTTGTCAGACCTGGTGCCGCCCTCTGGTTTCTGGCTGAAGAGACCAGGCCATTCACATCTCCCCGGAGCCCCACCGTGGACAGGCCCACTTACCTTTGAAGGGGAAGGCGCCCAGTTTCTGCAGATTCTCCTCCAGTTTCCCATAGTCCACCTCCGAGGTGGCAGTGAAGGGGGTGGTCAGAGGGGGATAGATGCCCGTGATGTCCACCTTCCTCCCCTCCCCTGAGGCTCGGCCCCCCACATTCCTAGACAAGCCCCTGCTCAACCCCTGCCTCACAGAGGACCAGACCCGGGGGCCCAGCATCTCCACAGGAAGCCTGAGGCCCAGCTCGTCTCTGTCTCTACGAGAGGCTGAGTTTGGACCCCTTCCGACCCCTGTTAATGATCAATGTGTTGGTTAAAAATTTGCTGCCCCTGACTTGTCAGCCCTGGGGCAGGCTGGGCTGGGTGTCCCCAGGGTCGAAGGCTAGGCCTATAGGTCCCCGGAAGGTGGGGGGGGCTCCTCTTGCTGGGGGGCACCTGGAGGAAGGCCACAACCCAATGTCCCTCCCCAGATGAAGGACTGGTTCCTGGGGTCCCGACACTAAAGGGTGTTTCTAGTGGGGCCTCCTCCCACAGTTTCCAGCTCAAAGCCAGGAGCCCCACCACCTTTTGCTTGGCAGTTCCGTGTTGGCTGAGTAGCCGATTGGCTGAGCCCTGTGGGAGGCGTGGCAGATCTGGGTGATCCACAGCCCCTTGGCTGCCCTGCTTCCCAGCCAGACTCCTCCTCCTGTTAAGGCTGCCACCTGACAGGCCTGTGCTGGCCACACACAGCCCCACCAGACTGCAGTCACAAGGAGGGGTGGTCTAGGACGAGTGCATAGTGAAGCTGATCCACGCTGGGACTTGGGAAGAGGGGTGACAGGGCGAAAGCCAGGAGAGGAGGAAACACAGCAGGGCTGGCTCAGGGGACTTGGGGAAGGGATAAGGCTGGAGTTAAGACAGCCCCCCTTCCCCAGCCCATTCTTGCATTCCTAAATATTCCAGGCACAGATAGAAACAACATCACACATAGCAAAAGGACATTTTTATTGCGGCAGCTTGTGGGTGCTCCTGGGTCTTCCGCAGAGGAATGGCTCAGGTCTGGGGGCCGTTCAGGCATTTACTGGGCTGGCACAGGCTGGGGGGGTCTCCCGCCCACTCTCCGCAGCCCCCTCCAGCCCGTTCTGCTCTGACCCTGGCTCAGGGTGCTCCAGAGCATTCCGGGTGTCGGCTTGCCACAGCTTCACCAGATCCGTGGGAGTCTTTCCTTCCTGGGGGACCAAGAGGAGATCACTATTCGGAAGTCTGTACCAGGAGGTGCCCTCATCTCTACCAGTGGTTCCCAGCAGGGAGCAGTTGGCAGTGCCTGGAGACCTTTTGCTCATCACAACTGGGGGTGGTGGTGGTAGTAGGTGGGGAGTGGGTACCACTGGCATCTTGAGTAGCGGTCAGGGATGCTGCTTAAGCATCCTGCAGTGCACAGGCAGCCGAGCCCCGAATGGCAATAATGCCGAGGTTGAGATGTCCTCGTTCTCCCCCTCTCCCTATCTTCCTGGCTTTCCCATATCCCCTTAGCTTTCTTGATTGGGGAGGGGGTGGGCATTCTCCTCCATTCTGTGATTGCTCTGAATCCCAAAGAAGAGCTTGGACTAGGGGACATGGGATGCTAAGAGCACTCAAGGACCACCAGGAACCAGCATGGTGTGCCAGGAACAGGCACGCCAACCGAGGGCTTAGGTTCTTCCTGCTCTGACCCTCCATGATTTGGGCCTCCCTGGGAGGCGGGGGGGAATAGTAAGACCCCCTTTGGTCTTATTGGGGGGGGCCTTTGGGAAGTCCCCTAATTGCCCTCCAGGCTGTTTCTCTGCACCTGCCCTCTGGAGATAGACAAGCATAGAGACTTGGGAAGCTGGCTGGGCCTGCAGTCCCCAGGGTCCCAGAGAGACTCTCCGCTGTGAGAGCTCCAAGCGCAGGCAGGCTGAGTCTTGTTCGGTTCTGTTTCCTCTGACCGCCCAGCACAGGGCCTGGGTGTGCCGTGCACACTGATGACTGAATCAGGAAAGGAGTGAACTTACCAGGTTCTTGGTCATCATGTCAGCCCCATGCAGGAGCAGCAGTTTGATGATTTTGTAGCGGTTGAGCCTCACGGCGTCATGCAGGGCACTGTCCCCTTCCTAGAGCCAGTGTGACACTCAGCATAGCCCATATTGGCATGTGGGAGCCCGCAGGCTGCCTGCACCCCTATGGTGGGGCTGGGCAGGAGAGAACGCAGACACTCACTCTGTCTTTGGCATTGATGTCCTGGCCCAGGGACAGGAAGTGCTCCACGATCTCCACGTGCCCTGTTCGAACCGCCACGTGCAGGGGGGTGCTCAGCAACTAAGTAGGGAGGAAGCAGGAGCCATTGGCTGAAGGCGCCTGGCCTGTGTGGCTTTGGGAAGGGGGTTGTCTTAATTCCAGCCTTATTCCTCCCCCAGGTCCTCTTGCCAGGGCCTGCACCCTGGAGGGGCAGGGAATGCTACAGTTCTCACCATCCTACCCGATGGCCTAGCTTTGAAGCTTTACATACCACCTTCTCTGGGAAGCCTTCCATGATTCCCCCCTTACTCAGCTATGAGCAACTGCTCACTCCTCTGCCCTTCTTTTAGTAATTGTAATAGATGTCATTTATTGAGAGATGACTATGTGATGGGCATGGCAAAAGCTTATCAAACATTATACATGTTTAACAAGTAATTAATTTACATTCATTTTCCCATCTAATGTACATAAGAACTCTGCAAGACATTTTACAGAGGAGCAACAGGCTCAGAGGTTATCACTCGCTCAAGGTCATATACAAAGAATAAATTTTAAAAAGGTAGATGAATAAATGAATGGATGGATGGATGGATGGATGGATGGATAGGTGGATAGACAGAAGGATGATGAAGGATTGCATGGATGAACAAATCCTATATCTTTTGGGTGGTCCCAAAGTCCCCAGGACAGTGAATCTCTTCCCCCTCCCTCTCCTCTGCTCTTCCTGCTTCCATCCCCAGATGATGGTTGCCAAGAGCCTTCATTTGATGGAAATGATCCATCCCTGGGCTCTGCAGCCACTCTGGAAACCAGACTTGTTCACTGCTTTTCCGCCCTTTGCTTCCCACTCCCCGCCCACAGCCACCCCAATATCTGTGAGCATTATTGCCTCACCTTATCTCTCATATTGGTGTCTGCTCCTCGGCTTTGCAGGAGTTTCACTACCTCCAAGTGGCCCCCGCGGCAGGCCCAATGCATGGCTGTGCAGTCCAGCTAGAAGGGAAGGATGGGACCTAACTGCAGAGCTTCAGAGAAGAAAGTGCCCTGGGGGAAAGGACCCCAGCCCAAAGGGCAGGGAGATACCCAGGAGAAGGGTACAGGGAAGGGATGGGGCACTCCAGTGCCTGGGCGATGGATCAAGCAGAACATAAGAACCCTGGGGACCCACCTAGTCCAAGACAGATTTGCTGAGGAGGAGATGGGGCCTGCCCAAGGTCATGCAACCCACTGAAGGTGGGGCCTGGCCCCTGAGGCAGCCTGTCTGTGCCCCAGGTTGGCACACAGAGAGGGAGTCTAGGCCCACCTCCTGCCTCCTACCCAATACCTGCCCTCGTGCTCACCCGATCCTGAAAGTCCACAGTGGCCCCGCTCTCCAGCAGCTTCTCCAGGATCTCCATGTGGCCCTCCAGGGAAGCTCGGTGTAATGCTGTCCTGCGGAACTGTCCCCACAGAGGCCGTCAGGGCCTGATGTCTGGCCCGGGCCTGAGCCCGTCTCCCACACAAGCTGAGGCTGAGGCCTTACCCCAGCTTGATTCTGGCCCTTGTGTTGGGTCCCCATATCGTCCATGTTTGCCAGCTCCTCATGCTCTGTCCAGACTCCCTTATGCCCTGCAGACTCCGTCCTTCTCACTGCCCCCAGCACATCAAGCCCGGCCTTCGCACGGGCTCTTCCCTGTGCCAGCGTGCCCATTTTGCCTCACTCCCTTGAGTGCTTAAAGAATCCTCGCTATTCCTTCAAAATGTAGCTCCGGTACCATCATCTTCTTGAAACCTCTAGGCCAGAACTGTCCAGGGGCCCAGGCAACCCTCCCGCACGGGAGAGTGTTTGAAGGCCAGGTGAGGCTTGCTCGGCCCTGTTTCCCCGGAGTGCCTAGCCCAGGGCCAGGATGGGCAGGTGCACCCTGATTACTGAGTCAAGGAGAGGATGAACTTCCTCCCTTCCCGATGCAGTGGCTTTCTGCTTGGGTCTCTTGAAACATCTACTCTCAACCCTCATCGTTTTCTTTTTTGTACTCCCAGTACCTAAGGGAGGAGATGCTCTGAGGGAGGAGATACTCAGATGGAACAAGAGGATTAAGACTCTGGAGTCTACAGAATAGAAAGGACCTGTAGACTAAGCCCACAATAATGCAGGTTCATTAATTTGCTTAAAGTAAGAAAGAGGCTGTTTCAAGGAAACAAAAAAAGTATGGTAGGTGGTGGAAACATTTTGAAAATAGTGCTGATGGTTGCACAGCATTATAAATGCAATCTATGCTGCTGAATTATACACTTAAAATGGCTAAAATGGCATGGCCCATGTTATATATATTTTCTCACAATAAAATAAAAAAATTAAAAGAAGTATGATATACAGTACAAAAATATATCCTCGCATGAGTTTTATGGTTTTTCATTCATTCAATAAATGCCTAAGCACTATAATTCCATTTGATCCCTGTAATGTGCTCTGAGGGAAGCAGGCTGTGTTACAGAGGAGGAAACTGGGGCATGGAGGGGTGAGGGGCCTAACTACAGGCCACATCGCCAGGGAGAGGCGTTCTTTTTATTTGATCCCATTCCTCTTTCTTCCCTAAAGAGCCACGTGACAGTTTGTACTCTGGATGGGGTCCACGTGGAAAAGGGCCTAAGGATTTAGATAAATTCCTGTGTGAGATGGACCATCCCAAATCTTCTGAGGACACCCCTCCCAAAGGACGCCCAATGCCTGTTCTCAAATAGGCCCACGAGTGGGGAGGGTGGGGCGGCCACCCTGAAAGGGAGGCAGGCACAGGTGAAGGGGTCGGTGAGAGCATCACCTGATCGCAGGTGTCCGGGGAGCCCCCATCGGCCAGAAACTTCTCGATGACCTTCATTTTCCCTTCCACGGCAGCTTTCAGGAATGCCTCCTCCTCCACAGGGCCAGTCTGAGGGCGGAAATGCCATCACCCAGGGCCGCCCCGCAGTGATCCTGGCCCTCCCGGGCTCCCCTGCCCACACAGG